CATTTGACTTGAGAACAACGTCTAGTCGAGGAGACCGCCCCCAGGGAGGCGGAGCTACCGAGACTCCCGATCTCAGCCAATTGTAACGCTCCCTGAGAGGAAGCGAAATGTTTGGACTCAAAGTGAACTGGGTAGACTGGCGAACCTGGTTGAGAGACACAGGACAGCCAACGGGGTGTGCAGTGGGCTGAACTGGGCTTTGCCTGGGAAAGCTCGCGAAGCACACAAGATCCCAAAAGAACTGTTAAAGTTCTACAAGCTGCATATGCGAAGCTCGCTAAACGAACATAGCGGGCTGAAAGCATAGCAGGATCTGAGGGTCCAGCTGAGCTTAGAACATCGAGCCGTAATAGCTGCCCCAACAAGGCAGTGAAAACACGGTTTTCGAGAGCCAGCCGGACGAAGGGGAAGGAAACCCCAGTCACCGGGACTGCAGAAAAGTAGCAAGCTCACAAAGTAATACAGAATCGTCAGAGGGAATGGCTGAAATAAAAAATTAGTGTCCTAAGGGCAACTCGCAAAAGTTGTCTCTCGCTGGAACTCACGAACCTCAGCCAAACGATGATCCAGTAATAATGGAAAGCCGAGCTCGTTCACGCAGACGAACCAGAATAACATCTAGGCGACGCAGAGATGCTGTTGAATTAGAACATCCGAGCTTAAATGATGTTTTGCTCACGCAAAACGCGATTGAAGCTTTCGAGCTTCAGCAGGAAGGGGAAGCGTTTTCACCGATTCTCCGTCAACAATCTCTGCAAAGCCGACGCTTACCTGTAAGGGAAAACGGGGATGACCCCCAGAACCGTAGGGTGCAGCGTACTAAAGATGTCATCTGGAGAACAAATGAGCTGGCAAAACTCGCGTTTATGGTCGAAAGACACCGAGAACCGGACTGTCGTATCCGATGGGCGGATCTCAGAAATACCTGGGACTGCTTGCGAATGGAGAACGATCCTAGAAGAACTCTCAGTGCTCTGAAGGCCGCGTACGCAAAAATCGCTAGACTCACAGATCGAAACGAAGCTCCTCGTTCGGAAGTAACCAATAGTGTGCACGAAGATGAGGAGCAACCCGCTGAATCAAATGTTGGCGATTCTGTCACCCTGGTCGATCAAGAACATTCTAGTCTTAGCGATCACTCAGAAACGGGTAATTCGTCGGAGACTCTCGAACAAAGACTAAGGGAACGTTTCAATCGCTATCACAGAATGGCAGTTGATTCGAATGACAGACAACCAATAAGGAGGCCTAGGGAATCCTGATGGCATTCCGCAACTCGGTAATCACATCCTTAGGGAGAAACTGGGGCGCAGAAACTCCACCAACAAGCGTACTGTCACAGCATTGAACGCTGCGGTGTTTGCTATAGGCAAAGCAATCACCAGTGTACCGCTGGATGATGCGGCCGAAAAAGCGGGTAAGAAATACCAAAAGCTGAGGGATTCGTTGATACGAACCATCTCTATAGCCTCGCATGTACTCCAAAGAAGGTCTACAGGCAATAGAGGTGCTCTAACTAAGCAGTACCTCGAAATTGCAAAACTACACAGAGTTACGGGTTGCACTCACGCGCACATACTAGATCAGACAATCTGTAAAGACGCCTTAAGGCGCAAAAACACTTTACATACCTCATGGGTGGATATGACGAAAGCATTCGATTCTGTGTCCCACGGCGCTATTAAATAGATTCTGAATAGAGCTGGAGTGCCATCTCTTACGAGAAGGTTACTATCAGTGATCTTGACGAAACAAAGTGTCGGGTATTGCGGATATCAGAACGGAAAGCTGGTCAAAATGAACCTTTAGAGGTTAAGAGGGGTGTGATGCAAGGCAATACCTTGAGGCCACTTCTCTTCTGCATGGCGATTGCTCCTATATCGTCGTGGCTACGCAATAACGTCAGCCCGTACCGAACGTCTACAGGAGCCGTAACACTAGCATGCGAGCCTCCTACTATCAACCATATTTTTTATATGGACGATCTGAAGGTTTACTCACCCAGTTGGGATGATATAGTCAAAGCCAAAGGATGTATACAAAAGGTGGCAGGTGAGCTAAGACTTCGGTTGAATCCCAGCAAGTGCGCTGTGAACTCACTGAACTAGCCCCGCCCAAATGAAATGACACCTAGTATGGATGACATACCTGTACTAGGGTCAAATTCGCTCTACAAATATTTGGGAGCAGAACAAACTTCTCTAATTAGTTGGGATCAACTGTGGTCACGAGTTAGAACGAACGCAGTGGCTACGGCGAGAAGAATTATGCTCAGCAATCTTGCGGTTCGCCAAAAGGTCAATGGGTATAACCTGATCGTAAACCCAAAGCTTAAGTATGCGATCTCGTGCATTATCTACGAAACGGAAGATTTTGCACAATGAGAAAGCAGGCTCGAGAGTTTGATGAAGCCATACGCGAGCTGCTGGCAGGAACGCACATGCGATTCCGACACAGCTGCGTGGCAAGATTGTATGTCAATAAAGAACAAGGGGGACTGGGATTAAAGTCTGCGGAGGAAGAGATGGAGCACACATTGTATATACATGGTGCTATCTCGCATCCCACCCAGACTTCCAGGTACCCTGCCATTTATGCGAAAGCTTAAAAAGCAGCAACAAGCGATCACTCATCTCTGACTTCCTTTCTCTCATAGCAGAGAACAGATTGGAGAATGAGATAACACGCCCTGCTCAGTCTTCCATTTGTGTGAGGAACAAAATTTACGTGACAGCTACAAGTGCTGCACGTGCAGGCGAATACACGAATGCATGAATGGTTGCAGAGACAGGTGGCGAGACGAGTGTTAAGTAGCAATGAGAACACCGGACTCCCATACGTCTGTCACAAGGATTCATTCCTGTGGTCGCAGACAGGACGGGTGTCTTCGACGGTGCTACGAAACGCTTGGGCTGCACAAGAAGGTTCGTTGCCGACCAAAGGCAGTGCATCAGGCCAGTCAATATGGCCAAACAGCGATCAGCTGTGCCGAATGCGATGCCCTGCCAAGGAAACGGCCGAACACATAGTGTCCGCATGCAACCACTGGCGTACAAATCTCATGTTGGAAAGACATGACGACGTAGCCAGGGTGATCTACCACTCGTTGAAAAAGAAGTATAATATCACTTCCAGAGTGACAAACACCCACGAACCACATATAGTGGAGGAAGATCAGGTGTTGATACACTGGAATGACCGAATACTGACGAGTGAGAACTTGCGGCATGACAGACCTGATATATTAGTCAGGGACCTGAAAGAGAGAGTCATATGGATCATAGAGATCTCGGTCTCTTGGTTCACAAGAATCTCTCAACAGGAAAAGAAAAAGGTCCAAAAGTATGCTCTGAATAGTTGCTTGCCGGAAGATACGGACCCCGAGGATTTCTATCCCGGACCGAATCTGAAGGCAGCACTACAGGCACAGCACAGAATGAGAGTTGAGGTCGTACCGATCGTTATAGGAACGAGTGGCGAATGCTCACCCGACTTGCGACGGTACGTCAGATTGCTGAAATTACCTGACGGTGATAAAGCAATCATTGAAAGAATGCAAAAGTGTGCTGTACTAGGGACCAATAGAATAATAAAATGCCACATGTCTAATAACGACATGTAGGCTATAGAAGTAGATAGCATGCAATCACGACACAGGATAGGCAAGGTCCTACCTGCTAGTACGTGATGCAGCCCAGCTAGGGGCAGTGCTCCTATTTCTATTCATGCGCAAAGTTAAATAAAATAGTATCAGAGGTCGGATCTATGACTAACTGCGGTCATAGAGCAACACCCTTGCTGCTAAGCAGCGGGGAACGGCCAAGTGGGATGTGGTGTGGAGGGCAAACATAAAAACATAAAAAGGTTGAAAAGGCCTTCCACCTCAATCTTCTCACTGTTTTGCCCTCCTGCAAAAGTGAAATTACTGTCCCTAAAGAACTTGCACTATCTAATCACGACTCTTCCAAAGTCACACCAATTTGGGGTCCTATACAAGCAATCGATGGATGTGCTCACATCGATAATCGCGATGGGCAATGCCCTGATAGCCGCACAAGGGATGAGGGCCTGCACCGGTTGCACTGGTTGCTCGGCTATCGGAGTCTCTCGGTATCGATCGACTCGAGCAGCTTACAGAAAAGCTTCCTGGATTTTCTGAAAGAATTCAACTTTTGTAGGGGTACAATCTACACCAACCTCCCTTTGGTGAATTCCATGTTCCCCCTCGGAATACAGGACCCATTATGAGGAAAAAAAGAAGCCATGTCTTTCGAGTGAACACGTAACAAAGCAATTAATCAAAAGTAAGCTCTCATGTTTCCAACATAAAAAAGGGGTTTGGAGAATGAATGACAGTTACACTGATTTGGGAACTGCTGTGTAGAGGTCACCATGACATTCGTATACCAAAAGTGTAGTACTATCAAAAACTTTGCATTACAAGTTTACATTTGATCGCGCCGATCAGCTCCTGTTGATCGCACGGAATCGAAGGTACTGCCATCGGTAGCTGCATTCCGTTATTCACAAGAGGAAGTGAGGGATTGGCAAAAAAATGGTCGTTAACAAATTTTCTTCGATATCCCAAAATTTCTGTATCGACAGGACTCGAGCAGCCACAAGAGGGCCTCTGTGGACGTTGTCGAGAGAACTGAGCTCATTGAAGGGGCACAATCAACATCAGCCTGATTGGCGACTTTCAGCTTCTCTCCTGGATGTAGTACCGACCATGAAGGAACTTGAACCGTAGTCGTTGCTCGGACAATTCTTTCTAAAGGATAGGCCTTCTTTGACTCAGTTTCACATCACATTCTTGGAATGTATGTCTCATTTTGACAAGCATCAACAGCAGCACTTTTTAACGAGAAGCGCGATTCTTAGCTTTTTTTTTCAAGGGAGAGCAAGGGGTGGGAGAGAGGGGGGAGGAGGAAGAGGAGGAGGTTTTTTGAAGCATCTGGCTGTTTTTCTTCGATGAGAGAATAGGTTCGGAACTCATTTAAACATAGTAAATCTCCAACATGGCAGTATGTTAACCAAAACAGCAAGACTGCTTCACAGAGATTTCCATGTTTGTAAAAAACTGTCTTCGTGACGAACCCTAACCCAGACCTGATTTTTCTGCCTACCATTCCGGTCCATCGATAAGGTTTCCTTGTGCATGACATCTCAGAAGCTCCGCACACATTTTTGTCGCACCTACCGCACCAAGCCCCTGAAATGGAGTTGTTCTCATCCGTGTGCATCCGTTGATTGTGAATTGTGATACGAACTCCAGCAGCTTCGATAATAGGAATGTAGTTAGAGGACTACATGTTCCTCACGAGACGCAATCCTTCGAGCGAAGGTTTTGATTTAATGATAATGTTCAGACTCTGGTCCAATCTTTAAAGGAGAAAAAAGCGATTTGAACGATGTTAAAAACTGAGGGAAATCCCTTTGATCAGTTGATTACTCTATAGAAGCCCCCATCACATTCATACATCAAAGAAGATAGAAATCTCGCAAACTTCTCATTACAAGTTTAAATTTGATCGTGCCGATCAGCTCCTTTTGATCTCACGGGATCGAAGGCGCTACCATCGTCAGCTCCATCCCGTTAAACACAAATGGAATCGGTCGGACTCGAGAAGCCTTCAGGGAAGCCTTTATGGAGGTTTCAAAGAACTGAGCTTTTCAAAGGAGGACTGTCAATATCAACCTGACTTTGTCTTAAACTTTTCCTTAGAACACGGGACCTATATAGCCTTAAGCTCAGTATTTGTTAGGCCTCAGGTTCTGTCCTCTGATTTGCTGGAGAGTTCTTCACTTTCTGCTCAGATCACTATCACATTTCCCACGCCGCCAAAACTTTATGGAGAACTCATTGGTTTTCGTTATGCAAGGGACCGGGTGGCGCACGGAAACCAGGTCTACGTTTGGGTCCAGCTTGAAGTTAAATTTTCGTACATGATCAAACATCACTATGAAGCAGCCGTGCTGTTTCAGTGAATATGTTGTCATGATGAAGTCTTACTATGATGGAATGAATTGCGAAGTTCTTCGCAAGTCTAACTCTACTCCGTCACCAACCTCGGGTCGAACTGTAGTTTGGTAGGTCCGACAGCTTGTTCAGCTATTCAGAATCCCCATTTTTGAGGAGCAGTCCAAGGAGGGATAATGGTTAAAGAAGCCCCATACAAGAATGGTCCAAGGAGTAAATACTTAGGTAAGTTGAATAGGCTTTCCACCCAGATCTCCTCAGTGGTTTCCCTCCTGCAGAAGTAAAAGTACTGCCCCCCAGGATCTTGCACTGGTGAAAATGTAGTTGGGGGGTGCCAGCGCCCTTTTGTGCTCTGCGTCTCGTCAGTTCTTACGCTATCTAATCATCTCACCCATCCCGGAGCTCCTCCCCTTCTAAAAGTTAGGGAAGGAGCTCCGGGGTGGGTGAACCAATTGGATGTTCAATTCTTACCCCATCCCAGCTTTTTGCATAAGATAATCATCTCTCCCACCCCGGAGCTTCTTCCCTAACATTTAGAAGGGAAGGAATTCATCTCTGCGATCTGTATGCACTCTGCCGCCAGTGTCAGAGACGCAGAGGACAACAGAGCGCTGGCACCCCCCATCTACATTTTCACCTCTTGCACTATCTAATCACAGCTTCAAACTTTTTACAAGCTACACCATGTTGGGGTCTTAAACAAACAATCGATGGATGGCTCGTTATCGATCATCACGATGGGCAATGACATGGTAGCCGCACAAGGGATGAGGGCCTGCAGCGGTTGCACCGATCGCACGGGTATCGGAGTATTACGGTATCGATCGGTCTCAAGCAGCATACAGGAAAGGCTTTGTTAAAGGGCTCCCTTACTGTATATTCCCAGAGTGTAGTAGCAACTTACGAAGATCGTTTAATGCTATCGGAGAACCCATTATCAAGAGATAATCCCAGAAGTATAAATCTCTCACATGGCGTTAACCGGCTTTCATTACCAAGGATGGTCCCTCGATTTGAGGACCACTTTATATGAGGACTGGTCATATGTTTAGCTTCGCACCTTCTCAAATTTTTGTTTAAGATGTCGATTGCTTACTGTTTACAGCATGGTCCCTTCACTGATTCTCAGCCAACACAAGCTCTGGCTTACCTATAACTCGATCAAAAGGAATATTGACAGGCATGAGGCGCATGACCAGAAATTGAAGGCAAGTACAAAATACTGAGTGACATAGAAGTGCTGTTGCCCGTACACACTAGTTGGTAAACAATAATTCGCCCCAAGTTGTGGTTAAAGCTGATATTCGGGCTATGGCATTACCCACGACAAGTACGTACTAAAAGCTTAGCAAATGTTATTCACAAAAAAATAGTCAAACTGCAAATACTTTGCTCTACTATCTTTACGCTGTAACATAATAGTACTTTGTCCCACGAGCATTGGATGCAGCTCATATCTTTCCATGGCATTTGAGAGAAAGTAATTGTCAACGCGTAATGCCAACATTAAGCACATGCCTATGTGCCCGATACTGTGAATATAAGCAAGCGGTTGCGTCACGTATTCGCGTTAGAGCGCGTTACCGTGCGCAACTAGCTGTTTACCCATAAAATATGATTATTATAGAATTTTTATAGAAGAACCTACAACGCTGCTACATTCTCCAACCGTTTTCTGTTTATGTAAGTCAACCGCAACGTATTTTTTTTCAAATAAAATTCAGGGACAAATCCTAGGAATGGACTCCCGCAAGCTAAAGTGGGCATACTGACTCATTTCGGAACTTTTGCTCTCTGTTTTGGCTTTCTTGCACACAATTTTCATGATAGAGCGTTAGAGAGCCATTCCCTGATCGATCTGGGTTAGGAAATCTGACTAGTTTTTGGGAAAATGTAGCGGATTGCCAGACATTTCACTTTGGTAAGTTATTATTGTGAAGAAAAAATCGTTTAAATGATAAAACCTCGAGTATTGTAGGTCGATACATCAGGAACGATCTTCGTGTTTGAGGAGAAGCTTGCCAGACAAGATCCGGTATACATCCTTTTTACCCTTTGTTGAAGCACTGCACCCACCGATGAACGAGTTACGGTGATGGAACTCTAAATTGTTCAATGGAATTTTATGAGCGAATCAATGACTCAAAGAATCAAGTGAACCTGACAAGTCTTGCGATTTTGCGATGACCGTTGGATCAGAGCCGGGGTACTGACTGGAACCTTCAGGATGCCATACGAGCAACAGGACAACCGTCAGATTATGGTCAGACTTCTCCACGAACGACCCGAATGAAAGGAATGGTATGCCTCGAGCGAGAACGACCCTCTTGACAATGACTCGCTGGACGCAGGGGCAAATGGAGACGTTTTTGGCGCCACTTTGTGGAAATCGATGATCAATGGGACGACAGATGGTACGCGTGGATTTTGACGGCAGCTGATAGATCTACGAGTAGACCTGATATCATAAACTGACGTGATCGTTCCTCTGAGCATCGCGTCTTTTCATGAAATCTTCTGATTGTTTTGGTAGCTCTTAACACGAACCCGAATGCAGTTTTTGTTTGTATTTTGTTTTGTATTTTTCAAGATCAGTTAAACACCGCCATTATGTTTGAATGACGCAGTAGAGTACGGCCACTTATTGTTAGACAAAACGTTGTTAACATTGTACGACCACCCATAACAATAACCCATTTAACTCCTACTGTTTAAGTCGCATATGGTATCAGTTGAACGTTGGTCTTGGTCTCATTGTCATGTTCGTGCTCAGGCTCAACCTCGTTTCCAGGTGAACTGGAGGAGCAGCAGATGTCCGAACAACTTTCTCTCTGTTCGAATCGCCAATGTTGATCAAACTACACTCTAGTCTACTCATTGATCGTGTTATCAACCTGATTGCCCTGTCATTTCGGTCTTTTTCTCCGTCATACCACGATTTTTTACTCATTTCATCGTCCTTTTTTTATAAGTTGCTTCTTTTTTTACTCTATTTCTCTTGATTTATAACTAGGGAATGACCAACCATATATTGACCGAGAAGGTTGGAAATGTGTTTTGGATCCGTTTCAATCGAGCTAACAAGTACAATGCTATCACTTCCGAGGTGAGAATAGATTTCTAAATCGATAGATTTGTTGTAAACCCAAAATGGCTCCCAATTGGTGTTTTTTGAGGGAATAAAAATTAATTTGAATTTTCTCTGAAAATCCTTCGGAAGCTCAAACTACTAATTACATCAGAATAGCTCGGAAATACTCCATTTTTTATGGATTTCTCTCTTCACTTTCCCTGAAGTTGTTCTCTTCTAGAACATAATGCGATGGGTTGTTTCAATGCTCGTAGATAGGTAGGAATTCTAAACATTACAGTTTGCAAGAGGATGGCTGATTGTTCTACCTTGCCCTGAGCTCTTTGTAATTGATACTAGTAGGGATTGAAATTACTGAAAGGAGCTCCCTTAACTTACTACGTCACAGTCGCTACCTCTGCCGGCTACCGGAAGAAAGGCTTCTTTGGCTCAAAAATTTCTGTTTCGAGGACGCTAATATGGATTATAGACATGCTTCTATGTGGTTTATAGGATACAGTTTGAAAAAATGAGATTGTTGGATCAATGTGTTGTAAAGGACCCTTTTAACTGCAACAGAGTCGATCACTGTACGTTGATTGACATCATTTCGAGATGTACCACGCTTTGATAGCTGCATTCGATGAGGCTGACAACGATGATGAAGTTTCCGTTACTGTTCTTACAGGTAAGCGTTACTTCGAAGTAAAGTTTTCATTGAGATACTTGATTTGCTCTGCAATTGAGGCACTGGAGCGTTTTACTGCGCTGGCAGCGACTTCTCAGCCACGGAACTACAGAACTCTGGGTTTCTAAGTTTGAGTATTATTTCTAGTAAATCGAAGCTTTCCGATCTTCCCTAGGAGGTCCGAGAAGGGAACACATTTGGAGAGAGTTCAAACTTTCGAAAACTTACTCATTCAAAGAGTTTCCATTCAGTTGGCCGAGTGACAGCGGCACAGTGGCGCCGTATAAGCTATGGACAGATCGGCTGATTCTCCATTCGAAGGTAACTGCAGCCGGGAAAGTCTTGAGCAAGGCTTCTGTTTTCCTTTCATTTTTTAAAACTCTTTTATGTTATCGATCTACCTCCAATATGAAATCGGACCTAAAGACAGGGTTCCGGTTTATATGGGCGTGATCTGTGCGATGTAACCAGCCTCACACTTGCGATGTTTTCGAACTTTTACTTTTCGGAAGTTTTTTTTTCCTTTCGAGCACCATGCCCCTTTTCGAATCCGTTGCTTTCCTACAGGACTTCATTACCGGCTTACCTGTGCCTTAGCGTACAATCTGGAAGCAAAACGTCATTTTTGAGCTGTAGAAATGCATATTTCCAGCCGAAATCTTTCAGCTCCTGGTTGCCCTCGTCAACGGGCCCGCAATTGGAATTGCATGTTCGACATTGGGACTTTGCGATGTTGTGCTGGCTTCTGATAAGGTCGGCAAAATTTTAATAGTTACTGTTAGTCACTTTCAATTTGCTGACAATCATAATTCGTTAGGAGACTTTGTTTTTCATAAAATCATGATTTTGTGGATGTGAACGTTGTTAAGTATTAAAAATTAAAAAGTATTAAAAACGATCCCTCTCTGAATGATTACTGCTAAACTCATTACTAGGAGACTTGGGTATTATCCTACCTTGGCGAATGAACGATCTTGCAATAGTGCTTTCCGGGCGCCTACCTAACCACCGAAAATTTAATTTTGATCCAGACATTTGCTCGAATTCGTGCCCCATATTTCAGGTGATGACTTCTCCTTTATGGTAGGTAGAACGCGACTCAAAATATCAATCCGTAAAAGGGGACGACAAACTGGCCAGAGCTGATTCAGATCCGATAGGAGCGTAATGAGGCCTCTCCCTCAACCTGAATCATATCGGTCAATGACCTCTGAGTACACTACTCACTAGCGGAGTGCGGAACCTTCACAATAAACGGTTATCTGAGGATGACTATAAAAGATGAAAGTTCATCGTTCTGAAGTCCTTAAACTCGTGTAAAAGGATAATGGTAAAGCCTATGGCCCTGAGAAATCTCGTCTTTGCAACCCAATCTACCACTCACAAACGGAGTGTCCGATTCAGTACCTATATCGCCTAGCTACTTAACCAACTGATGTAGAACTAAGTATTTTGATCTTCCCAGACAAGTCTGTTCGGGTACCTTGATTGACACTGAAGGGATAGAGGGCTTCATTGACCGGGATTCATGGGAACTTTCGAACTTTCGTATTTTCTCAACACAGAGAGGACTATCTTCTTGACGCACTGGAGTTTTTATTGACATCACTTCAATCAAAAATTCTCTTAAATCTACATTTGATATTTGTAAAAATATTTTTCGAATTCGTGTTCAAACCACTATATGTGTGATGCTATGCTCATAGTGTTAATTTAAGGCATACTTCTATTGCCCATTCACCACGTTGGGATTGAATCCAGAAGGTTGCAGCAGCTACACGTTTGTTCAGCTTATGGGACATATTAAGGTCTGTTTTCACATGATCTATATTGCCAAACATTCTCTTTATTGAGCTATGTACTACGACAGCTTGCAATTGCAGGCGAAGCTTTGAAACTCTCCCACCCCTCCCACCCGCCTCGCCCCATTCCTCCGCCCCTCGCGGCGGTATGTCTACAGCCAGCTTTGAGGCGTCTATTCCTACGTTGAAGTCTCACATCGAAGAGATGGAAACATGCTTGACTTATTAGTTGAATAACTTGTTCCAAACCAGATAGTTAGCAGAATGAGTTTTGTAGTTGAAATTATACTCGCAGCTCTATTCAAGCCCAGTCAGGCTGCTGTAGGAATTCCAAAACGGTTTTCTTTGAGCTTTCAATACTTTTGAGAGCCCCGGTAATTGATTAGGATTTTGGCATCAATGGGAAGTCAAGGGATCAGCCAAGAAATTAGAAACTATGGGGAATGAGGAGGGTGCAGAGATTGAGGATTGGCACTGGCGGAATCGACGGACCGGTAGCATTGACGGTAGATCAGCATGGTGAATAGATCCACGAAGATCAAGACAAGAGCCATGTCAACATTTTCCACACGGATTCTTCTTTTATTTAGAGCTCTAGATACTGGTAATAAATATATGGAGCTCATTACTGGCTTTACTGTAGCATATGAATGAAAATATGTTTGGAAGAAATTAGTTGAAATGACCCTGCAAACAATGAAAATAGTACCTTCTTCATAGGCTGAGGGAAGGTTCATGCTTGGACATTTACACATCGAAAAATTTATGAATATGCGATCCTTCACTGTAAACGAGGTCACTGTTCTTTTTAGGCATCATCAGTGGGGATAAGGACAGTGCATCACCACTTAAAACCCCTGATTCAGACTACAACGAAGAATTTTAATTGTGGTCATTCAGCTTATGGGGCAAACAACTAAGTAACTGTGTATCATTTTTATTACTTCAAACATTCAGAGGGTGACTACTTTTGTTTCAAAGCGCTTTGTATTTGTAAAACAGGTTTGCATTTTATGGCCAATGTAAGCTGAACATATATTTCTCTTTTTATTTTGAATAATAGTTTTCCTCAGAAATACGTACTTACGTAGTTGCCAATCCAACACAAGCATGGCAACTGAAAGGGCAACGCCACTGCAATGAGTTCCCGTATGGACCACCCCCGAAGACTCACCCCTATAGACTTGTTCACAGCACACTGCAGCGGCTGGATTGTATAATAAGATTCTTCTCGGTACTCCAGTAATGAGAAGTGTATTAAGGGCAAGCTATGCTGGGACCTAGATTTGGTAGCATTTATTTACTGTAAACTGTAAGCGGTATTCCATTGTGCCGAACTTTTTGAACGAGAATCTTTTGAGGCTGCTCGATTGATACTCCTGTCGGAGAAGCTGTCGGTTAAAGAAGCATGTGAGGCAGGCCTTATATCTCAGGTATTTTCCTTGTTCATGCTGCATTTTTACTATTCTTCTATGGAGTTGATGTATGCCTTCGTTTCCTCCCTACTGTTGATCCCACGCCTTCTCAGGGTTCGCTATTCTTGTTAGCTGCACCATTTTGTTCTATCTACAGCATCTTCTGCTGTCACCTTGATTTCGTGGTCTTTCCAGATCACCTCCGGGCACCTTTCCTTTGCAAGTCCTCCAGGTCGCTTACCTTGTGCTCCGAACTTGATTGCTTTTATTGATGGGTGATCCATTGTCCTCCTCAGTACGAGCCTGTACCTTCGTAAGCGTCGCTCTCTTACCTTCAGCTGAACAGGGGCTTCTTGCATGACTGTCCTGACGTCTACATCTCTTTTCCGGTCCGGTAGTGTCCAACCGCAAGCTCATTTTCCATTTCTGTGAAAGGGAATTGGCTCTGATGATTTTCGTCCTCTATAGTAACTTTCCAGTAGGGAATTTCATCTTAAATAGACCAGAACGTTTTCTAAAAAAAATTGGAAAAACCGAAGCGAATGAGCATGACCCATTGATCTGTCCAGGCTAGGCAAATAAGGTTTTTCTGTGAACTAATGCATTCCTTCTTTTTAGGTGTTCCCTCACGAAAGTTTCTCGAAAGAAGCTGAAAGGATTGTGGATCAGTACAGTAAACTGGCGAAACAGGTTCATCATTTCGTTTTGTCATCAGTTAATTGGCTTTTCGGTTTTCAAATTCCACCTGCTTTCATTTGTAAGTATCACCCTGTCTGGAGCTAGGCTCAATGCCCCAATCAGTTCCAAAGACAGGTAAAATCTACTAGGCGGTAAGGGGTACAGTGACCGTACTATTTAGAAAATCAACGAGTCAATAGGTTTAGCAATTAAAACTAAAAAGACTGTTTCAGAGCCTACTTGTATCGAAACGATTACTAAGACCTGAATCTCTTGTTGACAAACTCCTAACAGTAAATCGAAAGGAGTGCGAGGTAAGAAACAGACGTGGTTGTATTTGGTAGGATGAGAAAGTATTTCCTAGTATTAGAAAATAAATCATAACACCAGAATTATTTCTTGATCATTAATTACTGGAATTTTTTCTTTTGTCCATAATTGTATAGAATTTTTGAAAATTCCTTAGTTGATATTTATCCGGATCACTTTGTAAAAACCGCCTAGAAAGAATTCCGCCTTACTGTTCCAGTGCCCACTAACTATTAGGTTGTCGGAAAAGTATCTGCGCATTTTGGTCTCCATGTTGTGAAATCTTTGTGGATTGCTCTAGATCCTTCACTGCGGAATATGTGTAAGTGCAGGTCAATGCGCTCTCCACACCATATCTGCCGTCACATTTCGCAAGGGTTATGGCTGCAAGAATCGCTCTCGACTCAAAGCTAGTCAGACTATCTTTTCTTCATAAGTTCAGAAAAAAACGTTAATCCAAATTGAGCGACAGGGGGAATATGCGGTGCGATAGCACCATTCATTGTCTCTAATAGCATATCAAGAAGTTGGTACAAGAAGTTCAAAAATGGCCACTTTGACTGGACAGAAGAACCACGATTTAAGAGACTAGCTGAGCTCAATGTTGACTATCTCCTGAAGCTGGTTGAAGAAGATTCTAGGTTTAGTACCCATCAGCTGAAACAAGAGCTCATAGCCATCACGACACAACAGCTGTCCATTTGCATCGCCTTGGGAAGACATGCAGATTCGGAGATATGGATAAGTTTTGATCTGGATGGTCACGACCTCCAAATGAAGAGGGATTCTTGCCTAAACTTGATGACTTTCCGACGCACCTTCGCATGGCCGGAAGACTTAATCACTGGCGATGAGAAGTGTGTTCCCTACTTAAACCACATGAGGAAGCGCCAGTGGCTTAGATGCGTAGAGCATGGAATCCCGACCTCCAATCCCGAATTCCTACCTCAGAAGGCAATGCCAAGCGTTTGTAGCCATTCAACAGGATCATTCACTGGGACTTTCTACCACCGAACTCCGCTGTCAGCACAGAAGCCCAGTGTGCTCTGAGGACCGGATTGCTGCAGCTCTAAGAGAGAAACTCGGAAAGTCTATTTTCTCCACGGCAGTGCTCGCCCACACTTTTCGAAGGAGATCCAGAAGAAGCTTCAAAGCCTGAGATGGCATGTAATGGCCCACCCACCGTATTCATCAGATCTAACTCCAACGGATTATCATCTGCTCCTGTCGCTGTCGGACCATCCGAAAAATAAGAAGTTCGATTATGTGAATCAACTCGAGACGTACATTGACGAATTTTCCTCCTCGAAATCTCAGGAATTCTACGCAAGCAGGAACCACAAGTTGCCTGGTGAATGGCAATACCTTGTCGATAATGATGGTGCATATATTTGTTAATTGTTTGTTATTGTGAAGGAAAAAAATAAATTCAAAAAAAAAATTGCAAAAGGCGCAAATACTTTTCCGACAACCGCACAGCATGGAATTCTACTGTGTCAATTTGTCGAGATATGTGCAGTAATGAGGAATTATAGCGGTTCATATCTTTCAGGTTCTCATGGAGCAATTCCGTTGTGATGAGACTTTGGAAAGAATGATGTCAAAGTTCTCATCCAAAATATAAGTACTTGCAACTTTTCTTCAACAGTCTTTAAAGTTTTGAATAAATTTTACTGTTCTCTCCAACCCCTAGAAGTGGGGTATGACGTGATAACCTACTGATAGCTTACTTTGCCATATGCCAAACCTTTTTAATCCAGCCTTGCTTGCACTCACTACTATTACATTTTTACATGTTCTTTGTAAAATATCAAGTTTGAATGTCGGTTCTGAGCAACCAGGTAGCCTCGTTCAACGCCTGTGCATGAATCCTGATTTCAGTTAATAATTGGTCAACTATTTCTACGTTCATATACAGTTGTGAATGTTACTGTTGTACAGTAAGAATGAAAATTGATTATGGCTTAGTTATATCGAAATTCGTGGGATATCGATCTTAAGTGTATCTCAAGGAATTTTACGAATTGGTGAAGAGGAGGTGTTGGCGAAGCTCCAACCTCCACCTCCTCGGTCTGGCGTTAACTTCCTTGTACGGAGGGTGGGAAGGGAATACAGTGCACAACTTTTTAATAGTAGGCTGTATCGTTTGTTGAGAATAAGCAGTAGTAACTGGACACCGGTAACAGAGTTTACTTTGAGGTAATGTTGTCGTTAGAGGGCTCATATTCGATGACCTTCAGAAACTCGATAAAATGATCTCATTGAAAAGGACTACATGAATTTGTTCGGAGAGGTAAAGAAATACGTGGTGTTAACAGGAAGAGGGCATTGGAGTAGTACCTAGAACTTCAGACAGTAAATATTTACAAGCATAAAAGCAATGAGTAATATAAAGAAAGAGGATGAGCTTACTTTGAGAACCGTTGAATCTCATTCTCTTATGAAAATAATGGTCATACAGCTTAGTTGCCGCCCACGGCCAATGATCTCTAGAAATAATGAGAGATACCTTCCTGGGGTGTTTCCGACATGTTCGTCATTGAGAGCGTTTAACTGCCCAATCTTTCCATCTCACTGGACAACAACATACCCCTTAATTCCATTTCTTACACTGCACAAGCTCAGCTTCTTTCGCTTCCATGTCTTGGATTTTCTTACTCTTGACAAAATAATTTCTGAACCATACTGGCAATTATTCAGAAAAGAACTCCTTTTGAAGTGGGAGGGGGCGGGAGTTATTTGCCTCTATGGCTTCTCTTATTCGTCGAAGACCGCTTCGAAGGCTCAAACGAGAACAGCCGACCATGTTTTTCGAAATGTGATTGAAAAATTTGAGGAGTTTTGTGAAAACACAGTATCCCCTAATTTCTTCTAATTCACCGACCAAAAAAAGATATTTGTGCTGCAACCTTCTTACCCTCCACTCCTGTCATTACTGTATCGCGTTCCTATCGCGGTTGGCTTACATAACTTATACTGAAAAGTAAATATTTTGAACTGTGAATTATCCATTTTTAATTTTATTCATGCGCAGCTCCTATTCTCTTTGATATTAAGTTGTTAGGAAAGTATCTCCCGAGTTCTTCATAGTAGTAAAGATTAGTGCCAGAATTGTGGAGGGCTCAATAGAAATATTATAAAAGGGCAGTACTTGTATGAGCATAAAATATCTGGAGACTTCATAATATTGCAATTGGCTCATCGGAGCGAGAATCATCTTCGACCTTTTTGTTTCAGGCAGAGGAGTGGGATGAGGTTTGCACAGAACCCTTAGAAGGGGTGTCAAAGTGAAGTGCTTCAACGGATTTCAGCAGCGGATTGGTGGGGTTCGAACTTTTAAAGAAGTACGGGTTGAATATGGGTGAACAGCAGTACGGGTTGAATATGGGTGAACAGCTTGGCCATTACATAATGATTAAACAAGCAAGAAAGGAGTAGTCGAGGGTAGTGTCCTTAGCTAGAAGTCCCACGGAAATTTTCAAAAAACCCTGGAAGTAGTCGGGAATATTCCTAGATTTTCGGCAAATTTTCCCTACCCACCCGAGCAGAAATCGACTTAGGCATAAAGAAGGCATTGGCCACCGACCAGCTGCTTTATCCTTTTATTTCTGAAGATTTCAGATTTGACTTCTTACCCGTATATTAATGGGGCAGTGGCTAGAACATAGAAGAAGAGATTAGTGGATCGGTCTACAGGCGAAATAGTTATTTTCTGCCCTGGGCCATTGGAGGGATTTCAACGTCCCGTGAAAGTGTGATACAGTAACTCCCTGGTGCCTCACCGCCCACCCCATGGGCTTCACCCAGGGTACCTTTTTGTTGCGTTATTTATGTGACGGGAGTTTGGAGGCGTTTGAGATTGTCTTCAGGTAACACATTTACGGGACTATGAAATCCGTCTCGTCCCTGTGCCTCCCGTACACGAGACAGGCTGCGGAGACCCTTCAAAGTGTAAATCATTGTTCAATAATAAGTCGAATTTTAAAGTCAACGATGATAAATTCATAGAAGTTGAACCTTCAACTGTCATAAAAAGAGCAATACAAAATCGAGCAAAGGTACAAAAGACAATGTGCAATGTGCACGAGATCAATATTCAACCGGGAGAGCTACTAGTAAACTGTGAAAGATGATCTAATAAATTAAGCTCAAAGAAATCTACACGCACTACTTATTTGCTACAGTACCACCAAATTGCAGCATAACAGACATCTGTACAATATTTGGTGCAAACACAGTTAGGACTATGAGAGCACAAAAACTCACGGTTCTCTTAAGAATATACTCAGTGAGATTATAAATACTTGGTGAAACAAGAGAAACATATTGGGCACATCCATGTCCTCTAAAGCTTCTATCTAAATGAAAAAAGACCGAAAAATACGCGATCATCTGCTTTATCCCGAAGGCAGCACCATTTCGATAGATAAAGGACAAAGCAATCGGCCCTTTACGGTTTATTGATTGAAATGGTGCTGCCTTCCAGCGCTTAACTGTTTCTCGTTTCTTGAAGTGTTTACACTTCTGAACTCCCATTCAAAGTTTCGAAGGCTGTTGAATCAACTGGTTGAACGTGTTTTATGACGGTTGAGTCTTTCCCTATCCGAAGAACATGGCTTTGGGTTAACTCCAATAGAAAGGTAAAAAGTCTCAGGGAAGTTTGCTTTTCAAAGCGCTCAGGTTACTCTCCACTCCCTACTTTCGTCCATGCACTACACCGAGGATCTAAAAAAGGATCAGTTGTACTAGGGCTGGCATTGGACCACCCGCACTGCCTGGGGATCAAATTTATACAGAATGAGTGAATAATATCTTCGGCTTTGGTATCAGGCCCGATACTGGTTGAAAGGGTACCTAGTTCAGATTATCCTTCACCCTAAAATCTAAATTCGTCTCAAATACCTAAATGAACTCTATCGTAACAACTTTACGAGTTACTAACAAGCGCCAGCAGGTGATTGTGCATTTTTGGTAATGATATGAATGCATGGAATCATAAATAATTTACATATGTGAAGGAAGTTCCAGAAAGGCATGTATCACCAAATGAAAGCCGTAGCGTAATCAGTAGTGAAAGTCACATCTATTTTGAGTGAAGAAAATTGATGATCCATAGGAGAGCAGCCAGATCGATCGCGTTGAACAGAGCGGCTGATCATCGAATAGGAGGCAAACTGCTGGCGCCTAACGAATCATGCCGTCCATCTGAATTTGTGGGAATTCTCGAGGGGATATTAGTTTACCTTCCGGAGCATAGCTCAGTAACTCACTTCTGCTTTCGAAGGAGCTCGATCCGGAATCTCGCTCACGCTCACGGCCTTTTACTATGAGTGGGAGCTGAGCAGATTCTCGCTTCTTTGGGCGACGATTGATTATCCGCTCCGATTCGTCCGACCTAGAAACTTGTCCGATTACTTTGAAGTAGGCCCCAATTTGAGAGCAGAAAATACAAATGCTCACGAGGAAAGTGAAGAATTAAGTTTGGGAAGAAGTAGTGAGTTCCATGATACGACGCTTTGGATATTTTTTAACGGTATTAAGTGGTAATGAAATTGATTCTTCACTATTCTATACTCCTGCTCCAATCGTTCGCGATCCTTCTCTGAAATTACTAACAACTTCAAAATAGCGTCCCGCTCAGCTGATTTCTAACCTCACCATCTACTCGTCCTTCGATAAGTTTTTCCGCTAACATTTCATACTTCGATAGCTTTGACATTGTATTATCTGTCTTTTCCATGATGAGCGATTGTATCGCAAGATCGTTTACAGCCGATATTCCTGTGAAAAATTAAATTACTCCGACCGTTTCAGAAGCAATTATTGGCAGCTGTTCAGAGTTCCGTTCTTGAAGGAAACATGTGGTTACCGGGGACTTTCCATCAATATTTTAACATAGGTACGACAGGCCTTACCTTTCGTAGTTTACAATTCTCCCATTTTCTTTCATTTCATTCTAGTTGTTGTTTTTTTCCGAACTTTCCTTACCACCAGCGTTCCCTGTACTACACTATCTTCTCTCAACTGTACTCCCAGAACTTTTTCCAGTTCCTGCTTCCTTTCGTCTAATGAGCTCTAGACCTGAACATGGTCGTAACGCTATCCTTAAACCCCATGTTTTACATTTAAGTCCGTATTTTCTCAACCGAGCCCCAAGTGATTTCCTTCAGAGGGTCACACTGAGAGAAAACAAATCCTCACAAGTAGAAGAAAAACTCCCGTTTTGCACCCACTTTCAGCCTGCACGTTATCCATCCTAACAACGAGATCGATTAGTTCATTCTGTTCCTTGGTATGAGCAAGTGACCGCAACCGTGTTTCAACGGATTTTGCTGTTTCTTGTCCTTTCCGTAGGGCTCGTTCGAGTTTTTGTCGAACTTCAACCATATTATTTAATTGGTCATCCTGAAAACTCAAAAAAAAATTGCTGGAATATTTAATAAGAAATCAAAATCGATGCTCAGAGTTCTGGACAGCCAGTCGTTATCTGTGTTGAACGGGATAAAACTAATTCCTGTTATTTTAACCCCATAATACTATTTGCCCTGTTTTTTCAAGGCTTCTTCTTCTGATGTTCTCGAAAAGTGACTTTCTTTAACAAGAATGTTCCATATTCTAATGAAATTAGAGAGCTAAGGGAGGAGGTCTAGGCTTGTGTCCCTGACTGGGGGAGGCTTCAGACATGCTCTCTTAAGGTGCAAGCCCCGCCCACAACGCGGTGCTTCTGAAAGGGACAAAGACCTTCTTATAAGTAGAAATGAGAATCCAAGTTTCACCTTTCGAAGCTCGATTGCCGAAAACAGTGCATGAAGGAGAACTTACCAACTCAGCTACGTCGTTTTTCAAGCGGTTGATACTCTCTGCGGCCTTTTCTTCTTGATTGTGCTTCTCCCAGGCATGTATTATGGCCAGTTTGGATGTACGACTCATCTCCACCTCGTAAGCATCCTGATTGGCTTTCATCAGCCGTTCCCTGATTGGTTGTTTGGAGTAGATCACGTTTCATGAGTGGTTGTTTGGAAAAAATCTTATTACCTTAATTTTTGCTGTTTGTCGGATAACGTCACATACTGCTCTTTGAGTTGGTTGAATAGAGAGGAAAAGTCTCGTTTCTCAGTCTGAACATGAAAAAAAGTATTCTTAGACTAACTGGTACCATGTGGTGCAATGATTGGTGGGGAATTTTCAGTTCATACTAGGAAAGGTATTCATTATTACCAGTATGTCACCATCCTGCACCTGCCATGCAAAAAAAAGAACGAGGCGTATTTTCTGTTACCTTGGAGGTGCCATTCGTCATACTTGTACTTCCATTCCACCTCACACTGTAGCGGTATCGATCGTTCGTTGATGCTGTTTTGTCGACTAAACATATTCATAACAGTTCTAAAAATTGGCAATGGCAATAGCCGAGGTGAGTATTCTCGGAATCCATTAGCGATCTCACGCTCTCCATCCATCTTCCTAACCATTCCACTTGACGTAAGGCGGTAAGGAAGTCGTTCTCACCAACCATTTCCAGTCACACTGTGCACTTTAGAGGAAAAGCATTTAGCCTGGTGAAGAATGACGTGGCCTGGTCAGCTGTCTGTCCTGGTGGTTACGCGACCCACTTGAACATCTCGCTATTTTTCCGGTGGGTGTGGTCCGGTCCTCATTCTAGCAGCCACTATCTGCTCATGAGTGCATTACTATCTTCATCTTTTACTCGTCCTTATCTTGACTGGTTCGCACGAGATTATGACAACATGGGGTAGCATCAGGGGTAGAAATGACTTAAAGTTCATAAGCAACAATTTTTTGTAGACTTAAGGTTGCCTTAGATTTTGCTAGCTCACTTAAGAGTCAGGAATTGAGCGCCTCATGAAGTTCTTCTCTTCTGCTTCGGGAAATAAAATTAATCTTTCTAGACGTTAACATAGAATTTGCGCGCAGTTTAAGGTCATACGTTATAATTGACCATCGTATAAAGGAGACAAGAAATTACTGTACAGTTATAGCTCCTTTAGATGGTAACGTGGTGAAATGAGGGGTTTCAACACGCTTTTTTTCTGTTGAATTCTCCTCAGGATAATCAGGCTTATAGTTGTTGCAGTACTGGACAAACGCTAAGAAGTCATTCAGGATAATAAAATTGCTGATCAAGGACCTACTGTCTCCCATGAGTTTTCGAAGGACGACTGTCTTCATTTAAGAAGCTTCATGAGTCTTAATGGATTGGGAGGGAAGAGAGTAGGGAGTGACTTTGCAATTCGCCGAAAAATTTATTAGTCTTGACCACCGATCAATTGATTGGCGACTCACCTCATATGCTCCATTTCACGAAACCACTTTACCTTCATTCTACCAGTAATAGCCATCATTTTTTAAAGCTCACTAAAATTCTTGTTGCCACTTCCTGTAGTTGCAGCCGTTCTCACGTTGTGCAAGACTTAATGGGAAATTTAGCATGATTTTCTCCTGTCCCCTTTCAAAATGGTAAATCTTATTTCAAGAATGTGCTGGTTCCAGGAAGAAGAGGTACAAGAAGTGTTGGGGCCGGGCCCGAGAGCAGTAATGACAAAGAGGGGACTTAATACTCAGTCAAACACCTGACAAAGCATGACTTCCAGGTGTTAGACCCAAAAATAAAGTCGGCCTGTAGGCATGTAATTTATGATGCTCAGCCTTTCCCAGTGGCAGTAGGCTTCTAAAATCATCAACTTATAAGGCCTCTACGGTGAAAATGTAGTTGGGAGGTGCCAGCGCCTTTCCGTCTCGTTGCTCTGCGTCTCTGACCCAGGTGGCAGGGTACCCAGTGACCGCACTGGAGCGCGGATATGGCCTCTTAATAGTGATAGGGAATCTATTTTTCGACAAGGGGAGGAGCTCCGGGGTGGGTGAGAAGTAAACATAGTGCAAGGACAAGAGAAAGCTGTTATAAAGTAGAAAAGAGTGGAATGGGTTCAACTTGAGGAGTGTGACTGCGCTAAGTAGTTTGCGCACCGTTAACGCACCACACGCGTCGAGCAAAGTTGTTATTGAAGAGCTGTTCTGAAACATTTCAACTTTTTGCACAACGTTTACTTTTCACCCACCCCGGAACCCCTCCCCTTGTTAAAGAATACATTCCCTATCACTCTTAAGAGGCCATATCCGCGCTCTGGGTACTCTGCCGCCTAGGTCAGAGACGCAGAGCAACTAGACGGAAGGGCGCTGGCACCCCCCAACAACATTTTCACCGCCTCTACATCTCTTTTCAGGTATGTCACACCTTCACTCCAGTGACCATGTATGACATCCTCCTTCCTTCGCCCCACTCACTTCAAAGGGTCGTTTCCCGCGCTCGATATTGATTACTCGATCAGCGTTTGCTTCAAAAGCTCCAGAGTTCAGTGATCTTTCTGAACTTCTTTAACGGAACTTCTTTTGAACGCCCCTCACTTTCCCCTACTCCACTTCCACTTTCAGTTCCACTTACGTTTGGTCTAATTGTAAGGCGAGTTTTACTTTGCCTAATGCTACCGTATTGGGCAAAGTAAAAATTGGCGCCCATATGACCCGGGCTGCATCGGACAAGTACCCCACAGCGCTTATTTTGGTTGTACACTTCTTCATCGCTACGTCCATGTTTCTCCTTGTAAATCAGTTTTTACTGTCGTCATTGCTTCAAAAGTAACCTCCCTTTCAATTACTATATATTTATGTTGCCTTTCCGGTTTAGCTCTACCATCAAATTTCAAATTACTCTGTAGATATTTCATGAAACATACAACCGAATAGGAACCTATCTACAAGTATTTTTGGAAAAATAGTATAATTGCTTCTTTCTCTTTAGTTCTTTTCCTCAACTGGGAAAACGTGCTGAAGGTTTCGATTGCCATTTTTAAATGAAGCCTTGAATAAACATTCACCGTCAGGGCTCGATCACAAGCTGGTCTCACTCCTAGGACATTTCAAGGCTTTTAAAACAGGAAAGAACTAGAGAACATTGACTCATCATGTAATAGCTAGGATGATCGGTAAAATAATTCTTTGCGTTAGAAGGCTGTAACTGGTCAAGGCTTGTCATCGACCACTAACGGGTGTGTCCGGACCGTCATCACCCTCTCACGTGGCGCTTTTGTCCCGTTTCAATTCATAATTCTTCCCTACTGACTTCCTCACCTATCAGAGATTTGGATGAGTGAGTAGGGGCTCAAAACATACTTTGATTCGTAGATGCAGCATGGGGGATTGTTCTACGTTCGTACTCCTGACGCATTTCTCTCATTGCATCGGTATAGGGCTGATCTGCAGAAGCTGGACGATTTCTGGTTACCTGAAAAACTCATGTACTTGGTATTGTTCAGTATAATCTCAACTTAAGTAACAAGCCAGAACAAACCCTATTCGTTATGTTTTTCGCTCTTGAAGCATAAACGAGAGTGTTGTACGTTTCTTCGAAATGTCCGCTGGCTGCTGTGACGTGAGCGATCATGCATGTCCGAGCATTTCCTCCTTAACACAGCTACTACGCAACAGCTTATAAGAAGTAGCCCTAGTCAGAAATACAAACAATGATCTTCAAGATTAGGTCTGAGCGAGTATTACCTAGAGAATCCTTCAAAAGTCGAGTCAATTTGCTGTCACGATAGTTCACATACCGTCCTTTTACATCTGAAAAATTATTTCATTCAAGCTAACCTAATGGCGACTCCTTTTTACTGTTTGTCTATAAGAAGTCTTTCAAAATTGCTAATAGTGGAAATTTAGTCCAACAGCGTGACAGAGCTCTTACTTATTTGCGAGCTGCTGGCCAGATTGAATGGGAACAGGAAAAAAAAAACCCAATAAGGATTAGTTTTCAGGACTTTTATTGGTATGGAGTTCTACACTTCTAATATTGGAAGTGAAACCAGATATTCAGCCTAAAATCTATCTCCATTGGGTCGGTACAAACGTCGTCAACGGCTCTTTCAGTTTTCCAGATAAATTGCAAGTATCACGTCAGTTGTACAAAAATTACTAGTTATCAGTAGGTCGTAGTAGCTCATAGGAAATGAAACCTTACTTGATGAGAGGGAATTAATGACGTTGCCGAGAGCAAGTAATGATCTATTGATGGCAGCACCTTCCTTTAGACGTTGCCCACGATTCTGCAATTAACCAAGTTTTCATTCTACTAAATCTTCTTTTCTTTTAGAGAATACTTTCCGCGACAAACAAAAACATGTTGCGTTGATGATGAACGGCTAACTATGTAAGTGTGACGGTGAGCGAGAAAAAAGGTGTCAAATATCAAGTGAAGGCAAGGATTGGCTTGAACTGAACGTTCAGAATTCGCGTTTAAGGGCTGTAATTGGTTGAAATGGTCATCAACCAATAACCAAGCATCCCCCAGCGCCACCACCCTAGCCCGTCCCGCCTTTATCTTTTTTTTTTCTTCACAATTCGGTCCCATTCAGTTCCTCATCTTCTCTAAGCTCACAGAACCTTCTTCTCGTCTCCGAGGCTCATCATTTCCAGCTCTGGCCCTTTGCAACCGATCTTGGCTAGAACAAGAGCTTAAAACGATCTTCAAGAAAGATCTTACGTTTGTATTTGATGCTCTTTCAGATCCAGCCAAATCTATGAGGAAAAGTTTTGAATGAGGCCGATTGTTTTTTAGTAGCGTAACCTGGAACGAATTGGTGAAATAATTCAAATGAATTCATTTAAAAACAGCCCATCCACGAACAATCTTCTTTGGATAAGTGTACCAAAGTGTGTGTATGTTTTGCAGTGTTGTACCTGAAGTAGTGCATGACTTCTTGACGACGTCTTGTTGGCTTCCGTAGCCTCCTGTGTCCGCCTCAGATTTCCTTCTTGAAGAATTTGCATGATCTGAAATTACACCTGTTTTTTTGCTTCCCTTTCTAGGTAAGGTTCTGTAATAAACTGGTAAGCGTCGGGCATGCACTGATGTATATTTTGCGGGTTTCTCGAACAATCGAGAAGTTGATTCAGAACTTAATAGAACTTGAACACCTAATGGTTCTGGAGTGATTGTGAGTACTGTGCTCTACTTACAGTTGATTGTGATGACGTCACCTCTAGGTCGGAAATTCAATAATATTCGAATCAAAGTGTTGTTCAGGTGAGAAAACGGAGTTTTTCTTCATCATTCGGGGCCAGCGTATGTTATCGTACGGGTGGACTAGGAGCCATCGCATTTTCTGTTACCATCATTTAACTAAGTAACTAAGGAATGGCGACAAAAAACTTGTTTTTGGGGTATCACGAAACGGATGTTCAAGAATAAACGTACCCGACTGAGGTTTGGTGCCCGAACAGTGGATAGTCCTGGTACTCGGATGTTTCCTTTATCATCCTCCAACAAATCCAGTACCCCTCCTGAGGGATTCAGTAAATCTCGTATCACTTCATTGTAGATCTCCTAAAGAATACCATTACACTATAAATTAAATACTAGAAAAGCCTGACATAACATAATTCGACTTGTGCTCGATAAAAGCAGATAAATGTAGGTAAACAACCTTGCTGACAGGAAGTGATACCACATCTCAACGGTGTGATGCTTTTAAAAAGACCCTTTTTTGTTGCTGAGGGCTGACGATAGGATGACAAGAATGTTACTTACCAGGTAGGACAATTGTACTTGATATTGATCGAGGCTGATTTTTTGGTAGAGGCTTTGCGTTAACAAGCTCATCAATCCTGGTCGTTCTTTCGTACCTATCATCGTGAACGTCTTACCGGATCCTGAACGTTGGCTTTTTCTTTCAGTGGCTTTCCCAAAATCGCTGCTGCAGTTATTCTACGAAAGTTCTCAATTCTGAAGAACTTGCCTGTTGCTCCATATGCGAACACTGTCGCATTGTATCCAGCAACTACAGAATCCACAAGGGGCGAAGTTGTTGCCTCGTGAATGTCCTTCTGAAGTTCACAGTTAAATAGTTTAGACTTGCTCTGACTTACTGGTAACATGGAGCCCATGTTGTCTAAAATGCCTTAACGATGTCGCTGTTGTTCACCTGAGATGAATTCGGTCCAAAAGCAGCATCGAAGCTGAACTGCCTCTCATGCTGTCGATTCTGTCGTAGGATATTGTTCTCGTACTTTTCCGGATCGACAAGTAGTAGTCGCTAAAGTATGGCCATCAAAGGCACAGGTTGGGATGAGCATATGGATAGTTCCTGCTTTCTTCTCCCCAATGGACAATCGTCTGGAGATTGAGCCTCAGTTGTGCTACGATAACTTTGAAGAGTCATATTTTTCCTCTCCAGCCTGGAGCCCATGGTGGAATGTGATTTTCAAAGTGATCGATAAAATGATGCCGTTACAAAACTAAATATATTTTCTGAGTATAACCATGTAGGGAATAGCGTAGCCACAAGTATCGCCCATAGATCGAATCCCGGACCTGCGCTCGATCAATCGGTTTCCAATCGCTCCATGCTCGGCTAATCGATAAAAGATTCCATTTCTATCGCTCAGTGTAACAATTTACCGCAATTCCATTAACAAAAAAGGCGGAAAGGTTTTATAGCTGAAGATATGTATATAAATCCAAGTTTTGAATAAAGCCCTCCAAGAGATCTTCAAGAGATTCGGCTTTGTACAAGCATTAGCATCGTCGTTGTACAAGTTCAATCAGGCAAATGAAGTCAGTATGTAATCAAGGAAGAGGCTGTGATGGATGATTCTTTTACACTGTTCATAGAAAAACCATCCAACGCTCAGATCTATTGCAACGTGACGGCAGCAGTGTGACGTACTCAGCTCTACAGATGACGAGCTCAGTTCCAACTACTTCCCCATGAACTTTTCAGTAAATTTGTTATGAGTAACCACCCTATAGCTATTTTGGTCTGAGTGTTCTACCTGTAGAGTGTTTTTCAAAGTCCTTACTCAGTGCAGTCTTTCTCTGTTGCACTGAAGCGTGCACAATTTTCACCTTTACCTCAGTTGCAATTGCACTAGCCTTTTCCCTCCTATTTTCCTTCAGCGAACCCCATGTCCGTCCCAGTCCCGAGCTCTAAATTTCAACACTGAAAAGCGAATTCTTTTTTGGCCGTGAAACTATAATTCATGCCGGGGCCCCTATGGTCTCCTTCATGCCTTCTCTCCCGGGATGCCCATTTCTCATAAAATCGTCAAGCTTTCCCATTTTCACATTGCCAAAGTGGTTTCCAGTTTAACTTCCAGCATCTGAATTTCCGCTCTTACTGTAGGAATCATTCGGTCATTTACAACGGTATAACAGCCATCATGGCTTGATCGGATAGGCTTCCCAATTCCTCCATCTAGGACTTTTAACTCCTATTCGCATTATCGATCGATTGACAAGTCTTTTCTTTTTCAAACATCTGCTGTTGTGGCTCTCATTCTGCCAGTTTGCAATGGGAACATTGACGACGTCGGTGGTTTGGGAAAAACGCGATCGCTACTTACACTGTGTTCTCCATGGATAAACTCATTGCCTCCGTAACTCTACCGAGTTATATCCATCCATTCTCAAGTACTATGCATTTGAAAATCATACCAGTAGGTTTTGCTTGCATTATGAAGTATGAAGGGTACTGGAAAGTAAATGTAGTTACTTAGCCTCATGGAAAACGCGTGGAGACAAAATCATATTCGCATCGTAATGAACTTGTTGTTCTGAATATTTGCAGCTCCGTTTATGATGTGCCATATATTCAACTAATAACTTTTGATATAGAGTAGTAGAATGTAACACCTCTTTACGGGATGAGTATAAGTCAATATTTCTCTCAATGTTGATAACTTTTCAGGCACAATCGTAGTTAAGCAAGGGGACAAAAATGTAAGCTGAAAATTTTCATACGCCCGGATCCGAACACTTCCAACTGAGCACTTTGTCTTGACCTGTGATGTTTCAACTTCCCCTCTCCGTCAAGTAATTGCCCACTGATGTCAAAAGTTGCGCTCGGGGAGAAACAGCTCCATACCTACCATTAAATGGAGAGTGAAGCAATGTCTAATCGGTGCTTCAAGCTTGGAATTTGTGATTTCTGGCGATTTAGGGTCTTCACAAAGCGCATTCAGATGGATGAACAGGTTGAAAGAAGGTCCCTTTCTATCCTGCACGTGCCTCTCCTGAGCATCGAGCGCCGCAAGCAGTCGATCTTTGGTGCCTTTGGTGAAGAGATCGGAAATCGCTTTCGGCTATCGGTTAAAAGTAGTGAGGAGCACACTTCTTTAAATTAAACCTAGGTGATAACAGCAAAAGAGAGCTCGAATTGTTCAAGATTGAGAGGCAGAGTAATTTTACTTACAAGTTCCGCCGACAAAAACGTCACCCGACGGCTGGGCAATAAATATTTCATGTGCGCTATTTTAGCCATGGTTCGGTCTACGCATCAACAAGCACAACCCGTCGAAGTTTTGTGCAGAAGAAACAGCTTGAATAACAAAATTTCTCAGAGAAGCCCTTCTATATGGTGAAGCCCTTCGTTATGAAGCACTTTGTCAGTGTTTATGAGCAATCCTAGGATGAGGTGACGTTCTGAGATTCATAGAACACTGGATATAACAAGGCGGGCTGTGATACGCATAGAAATAGGACTTATGAAGATAATACTAAATGGCAGGCTATTTAGAATGAAAAATAACGCCTTTGTATAGCTGGAATTCTGTTATGAAAAACCAACAGCGGCACCGATACGCTTTTAAAATTCGAAAGATTCCTTAGTAGTGAAGGTTTATGTTTGTAAAAAATGTCTATAGTTAATGAATAGTCCTGTCGATATTCCTTTCAAACACTACATATTTCGACAAAATCTTTTTTTTGTGTATGGGGCGGAGCGTGCGCATCCTCCCACCAATCACAACTCTCCTGTTCATTTTCGTTCAATATTATCATTTTTATTCATGCACAGTATTAGTCTTTGAAGCATAGTGGCTATATCGAGAAGAAGGAAGTTCGTATTAGGTGTTTTTGCAACTTCCCTGAGGAAAACCATTTTTCAGATGATCTTTGAGCTTTCTCGTCGGCTTAGCACCTTATTACCTTGCATGCTCCAACATTTTACACACTTTAAGTTCACAAAATTGATTCATATCGCGTAAATTTGAGCCAAGCGCTGCATTTTATTGTTATGCGTTGTACTCCTAGGGGTAATGGACCAGAACGCCGGAAACTGAGAAAATGGAAGAAGTCCAAAGGTTAAGCGAACCGTATAATGTTAGCGAACCTACGTGTTAGGTACGCCACATTACGTATAGCAAGCCATTCGAAATCTAAGATCAGATAGCAATAAAAAATCTCGTAATTGGGATTATAAATTTTCAAACAAGGAATATTAGTCTTAAATAGAACCTGCTTGTCAAGTTGGAAAACACATTGGAAGTGGCGCTTCTCCTTCTCCGCATCGCTCAGTGGACGCACTCGGACCACAACCTTAACAGGGAGCAGCTTTCATTATGAGCAAGTGTAATAGCGAATTATTAATTATTGATAATGTAGGGTAAAATGCTTTGCGCCTTATCTTTCAATAAAACATTCAAAAATCTCTTTCGAAAGTTTGAAAAAACGTTCGAAAGCTGCCTATTCATTTTTCTACTTACATCGGGTCAAGTGACCCATTCTTCTTTTCAAAGTTGGGCCGTTGTATGTATTTCAACTCATTTTTTTCAAGTTAGTAATATTGCTCATAGTTTTCATTTAAGCGGAACTTAACATGAAGCCATTTGATTCACATTTATTAGCAATTCGCCGCTTTTTCCAATCATCCGGTCTGTGGTTAACATGGCGCTGATTTTGAACTATTTTTGATCTTTGGCTTATCAGTTTCCTAATTATGCTCTTGTCGAATTCTTACAAAATTGCTCAAATAACCTGATTAGAATAAGAATTACTGGGGACCCGATTCGTTGAAGAAGTCCACCCGATTCATGTTTATCTCAATGAACTAGTTTACCCGGCTTCATTGTCTTCAAGTTGAACAATTTTCTCTTTGAACTCTGCCAATGCCTCTATGGAGTACTCGATAACAATTGTTGGCCCCCATTATTGGAAAGGTCCATACACCCGATTATCATCCAGAACCATACCGGAATGTCGCGTGTACGTTCTATGGAGTAATTTAGGATTTCTAAGAAAGCCGATGATTTGTTCCGTTGTGCTTCTATCGCTTGACGCGGATCTTGTACCGAATGTTTATCCCCTAAGGAGATGAACAATCAGCTTATCCTAAGCTAGATTAATCCATGGATCAGATCTACAGTAGCGGTGCCAACAATCGTCGCTCCACTTGCCCTATAATTTCAGAAACCGAAGAACAGGCTGGTGCTCGTAATTATATCTTTGAGTTTCTGCAGGTCACCTCTCCACTTTACAGCTTTATCATGCGTTTTTACAGCCTTTCAGCTACATGTGTTACCCTCAATCGAATGAAGCCGGAAACTTCGTTAATCACCTGGGAGCTGGAGCAACCGCAATCTGCGTAGTTTCCAGTGAGGCAGGAATTAGTTACGATGGATGGTAGCAAAAAAAGTTACGCGAGGGAAATGCAAGAGATCAGGGTCATGTGAGGCTTAATTCAAGTATAAGGAGGATGAGAAGTCGTATAGGGCCCAAGTGACGGGTGAGCCTTCGCAATCCGAGAATAATCCGCTCGAAGAAATCCGCGCTGATATGGTCAAGAACCCACTAATCTATAAGGGAAAAAGTTCTTGTGCGTCATTTGAAATAGAACGATACGATTTCGTACGAGATGGTTTAGTTCATCTATTGAGGGAAATTCATAAAAATCGGAAAATCGCTGCGATTCTTGGCCACGTACCTGATAACGGCGCCACTAACCTCTGCGCCACCGTCGCTCATAGTGTTATGGTGATAGCAATGTACACTTCCTAGTACGATCTGCATTTTGTATGGTTTTTGAATGGAAGGAATCGGACAGTGGACTACAGTAGGCTTTGATAAGCAATTTTTGGGATACGCCAAGCCCTTAACTTCTGTGCAAAACTGCTGAGGCCTCTGGAAAGGATGGTGTTCAAAGGCAATGTTGAAACAGGACAATGGATGTCAGTTTTGTGCGATTGCCTCTTCATATAAGTCTGCTGTCAACGATACTTTCATGAGATCTAAGGCTCCGCTGGTCCAAGCAGGACATGCTCTTATGAACTGTATTCAAGCATTAAAGAGTTACCGACGCCTTTCATTTTTCCACCTTGAAAGGCAAGTTAGACGAGGGAGGTGGCCAGAAGGACTTGAAAGGTGGAAGCTTCGATTGAAAAATGCTTCAGTTCATGACATACAACAAGCTTTTCAAAGCTATTGGACCAAGGACGATCTAATCCTACAAATGCATCCGGTTAAGAAGACAGCGGAGATCTCCAAGGTATTCCACAAAGCTGAAGTTTTTGTTCCTAGCAATCGAGTCGATGAATATTTTCAATTGCATGGCGTTTTTGTTCTATGGCATTAAGGGGCGCTAATAGTTCATAAACTATTTTGAAATGAGTTTCTATGGCTTTTCAGTCAGAGCGTGCACGAGCCTGCAGAGCGATGAGATCGCATAGTTGCTTAGCATGGATTTTAGAAAACCTTAATGTAAACAACAAGAAACTCCATGCTGAAGCTTTATCGCCTGTGAATTCCAGAATAGTAAGCGCCCCAGCAGATTTTCACTACACTAAGTTAATCGAGTACTACATAGTAATGCCTGAATTACGGACATAGTGGGTTTTTTGAGAGCTTTCGTCGACGGAAATCATGTGCTCGCTCGACTTCCTCTTCGCTTTCATCGGACGCAGAATTTTTAGTAATCGATGAAAATTCAAGTGCGTAGAGCAATTATGTTTTGTGTGACTGCGGGTTTGCTATTGGGACACTACGGCGACGCTTCGCTGTCATACTTGTAATGAAAAGTACGACGAACACATGCTACTATGGTAGTTCGAGGTGTAACGCAGTTATCAGAATTACGCCTCCAGAATAGAAACCTTGAAAGAAGTGTCAGAATCGCTTGTAGGAAAGAAAAGAAACGAGAATAGGAAGACATCCTTCAGGGAGTTTTGATGCGGGATTATCGGGGTAGCAAAAGAATTTGGTAGTTTTGTTCGAAACCTGGAAGAAGTTGTTCAGCAGCTTTTCGTGCCCTAACGCCCCCATTTCATACAACGAAAGGAACTTTCTGCAACGGTCTCAGCAGGACTACTGTGATACCTGTTTGGGTAACATTTAAGGTACTGGTTTGAATAATCAACTTGACTGAACCGGTTTCTCAACAGATCGTATCAACAATTCAAAGAACAATCCACTTTTCGTCAAGATTGACAACCAGGCAAATTACATCTTCGACCCTTTCGAGAACAGAAAGAAGGCTATGCTCACTTTTCGGTCTCCTTGCCTACTTTAAACTTTTAAACGGCCAAAAAAGCTATTTGTAAGTTGCAAATTTCGAAGACTAGAGGTATTATTTGCATTTCATTTATTCCGGGTAGAAAATATTTCTTTAGTTTGTAGTATTCTAAGTGTAAGGTGTAGCCAGAATAAAATAGTCAAGCAAGTTGTCGAAATATCAATTCAGATTACATCATGGTATCGGGGCATCGAAAAAATCAAACAACTTAGCAATTCGTCCTCATCGTTCTATCATCTATCCTATTTGCTATGTGGGCAAGCTCATTGCCTTCTCCTTTTGGTCTTGATTTCAGTCCATTGCTAGAAAACCAAACCCTTGGGCGACCATGAGAGCTCGAACTTATGTCTTATGCATTTCGTAGTGAAGTTACTCAGTAAAATACTACAAGCAACGCGAAAATAGCCGATTAATTAAAACTGATGAGACTATCCTAATTTTCTTGAACTGAGTGGCTGAGGGATTGCAGAAAGTGGTAACCCTGAACTCTTTCCAGCCCAGGTGAACCTCTCGTCGATACTAAAGTATGGCCATGGCAGATCAACTAATTCTTACAACAACTACTTGTGCTCATTACTGTATTTCACTTGGATTGCTGATTGTTGAAAGCGTTGCCAAGTCTGAGCTCACTAATGAGAGTGAGAGATAGTAGGCCTACTATTATTGAAAGCAGCCATTTTTCTATTTCGTAGAATGCTGAGGCTAACTACAATGTAATTGAATACACATACATATTTTTAAACAAATCGAAGCTCGAATAACGCACACACGCAAACAAACATTTAAAAATGCATCCACGGCAATAAGGATAATCAGAAAAGGGTAGAAAAGCTCGTTAAGCAAGTAACTACAATATTCAGTTTTGAAAAAAGTAATATTGGAAAGAATTCTGTTGTAATTGAAGCTTTTCTGCCTTGTTTTTCAAGAAAACCCTTAGATCAAAGGGAAACGACCGATATGGTGGTTAAATTCTGATGAAAAGGTTATGACTGACCGTTAACTTGGCGCTACTCATGCCAAGAAGAGTATCCGCATATTGTGGAAAACAAGCGAGAGTCCGTAAAGTCGTGTTTCTCAAGTCACCTGTTGCCAAGTAACAGTAATGCGCGTTTGAAAACCGCGCCATGGGCTTAGATTCGCAGGTGGGCGGTGGAGCGGCGCTGCTCGAGCGGCAGATGAGTGTTACGACGTCAATGCAGGGCGCCATATACACAGACATATGTAAGGATGTGACATGAAGATCACTGGCATTAGACCTATGAATTTCCGTTTCCTCTGTTGGTGGTCCTTCTCTGTGGTCGTGTTCGTTTAGTGGTTTGCATTGCTGTCGAAGCTGATGCTCCGTCAACGCTCTCGCACCCAACCACCCGTCGTCAGCCTGGTGGGTGGTCGTCGACGCCAGCGCCAATTGCTGTATTCGATTGCGCTAATCGTTTCTTCTTCTCTTCGTTTATTTCTGTTCGATTACCGTGATTATGTGTATATGTAGGAATGTTTATCTGTAGCTCTGTGTGTGTGTGTTTGCGTGTATCCGTTTGGAAGTTCTCCATCTGCCTGCGGTACGGTTTGCCATGGATATTGCCGTAGTTTTCGCGGTGCTTTCATATGCGACATACCATACTTCGCACCTCATTTCCATATCATTTTCCGTCGCTCACCGCCCTCGTTTTCGCTCTGTCAAAGTTTTCCTTCTAACTTCAGCAGTTCATTTGGCTCGCTTTGTTTCCATCTCTCTCCTCAGTTGATTGTAGTTGATTGACTTACCTCCCTAACTAGTCCTTTTAACCACATAATTCACTTTACATTTTGTTCCAACACTCTACCGTCTCTATAAATTGTTTGTTGTTGTTGATCGGACGGTCACTACCCAATACAGAAACATTATTTGTGCATTTTATCCTTATTCGTCAATGCTGAATTTAACACCCCAGTTTGGTCTCCGTTCTACCCTATTTGTTGTATAATGAACTCCTATCGATTCGCGATACATCAGGTAACCAGAAACTGTGCAGTTCAACACTGGTAATACCTACTCCATTATTTGCTGAGTAGTCATAACGAGTCGGTTTTTTGTCCCTGCATTTCCTCGGTGTCAGTCAATCATGCAACCCAACGAGAAGTTGTTTCGGATGTGTTGCTGTGTGTGTGTGTGTGTGTATGTGCGTGTGTGCTGGTAAGCATGTGGTAGTCATGTTCATCGCGCTGTATGTGCAACTGCTGTAATAGCAGCACTCAGCAGTTCTACTTAACGTCTGAAATGCTCCTGAAATCACAGCGAACGCTTCGTTTCCATTTCATCCAGCTATCACCTCAAGCAGTATCAGTCTGTTCGGCGGTGCAGTAGCCGTGCAGAACCGTCCCATTGTCGCCACTGATTGCATCGCACCGTCGCTCTGCGGTGTTTTCGTGTGGTGGGGAAACAGACCTGATGACGGCCGGGCAGTTGATGGCGGTTAGAGCTGACGTCATCCCTACTAAGGTATGACACACACACACATTGTGCGTCGATTGGAGGGTAGTTGTCTGTATTGCGCACGATGGGGCTGGTTAGGGTCATGGTGGGTGGGGGTGGGAATTGTGGTAATGATGTGATGAGTCTCGTCTCCACACTGCTTCTGCCTCCGAACGGAGCGAATCCGATAAGATTGTGCTCTCGAGTGAGGGAGACTGAGAGAGAGAGCTGTGTGCTACTGCAATGTTTTGGGCCTCACGATACCTCGTGCTCTCTGCGCCTCCATCTGTCGCCCTCTCGCTGCTGCACGCTGCTGCTGCTCACGCTGCTGCTGTCGCCGCCCCGCGACTGCCGTTTCGTCGCCGCGCGGCCAACGGTGGTCGTGATCGCGGCTGCCGCTTGCGCGCCACCCGCCGCCACTCGCTCGCAGCCGTCGCGATGAAATCTGCCCTCCGGCCCGTCGGAACGCTGCTAGCCCTTGTCCGTCCGCCACTGTGCTGCCCTCCGCTATTTCAGCGCTCCCTCTCATGTCACATTCATCCGTCAACGTTGTGTCTTCACTCCTGCACAATGTCAGCACTGAAATTTCCGTTTCACTTGAACTACATCGATTCAGACCAGTAAACTTCCCGATTATCGCTTCAGTTTTACCACATGTGCAATACGCTTGCATCTTTTTCAGAAGTTTGCATGTATAACTAGAGTGGCGGCAGTGATTTGCATACAATTAGTAGCATTTTATCATTTTCTGATTCTTCCTTAGAGGATTTTTGTTGCTTCTGATTTTTCCCTTTTCCTCTTTCCTGACGCTTCCTGATTTTCAGGTCGATCGATCGATACTTTCATTGACTTTTGTTGTCTTTGTTGTCTGTCATTAGCCATTATTTGCATCTTTAGCTTGCTCGGACATGTCGAGCGGCAACGAGGAAGCACAATTGGCACAATGCCAAGCTTATGTACAACGACACAATATTCAGCAACTTGTGAAAGAGGCTATTGGTGAGCTTTGGTTTGATCGTCGTCCTCTTATAAAGCAACCAGTTTCAAGTA